CTCTCTCTCTCTCTCTCTCTCTCTCTCTCTCTCTCTCTCTCTCTCTCTCTCTTTAAATTTTAAAAGTGATCGATTGAGTTCTTATGAATTCGTTAACATGAGCGTAAGTTGGAAAAGTACAAGATATCTATATAGGTTTATAAAGCCCGAAAAAAATAAAATTAAAAATTGTATAAATTAGAATAAAAATATATATATATATATAAGTATATAGTGAGTGGTATGGTAACTGAAAAACTTACCTATTGTTGCTCAACGTATTCCATTTAACGGAAAAAGCACTAATCTCAAGTTTAATGTGTGAGAGAAAATCTTTGTCTTCTTCTTACTTTTATTTATTTATTTACTTGTTGTTTAACTGCGAATGAGCGGCCAAAACGTTTCATATGTGGTGACATTTTGAATGCACTTCGATTGATGTTAGCGTAAAAAAGTAAATCGGAGTGAAAATAGAAAAAGAAAATGAAAAGGAAGAACAAGAAGAAGAAGACGAAGAAAAACAACAATATTGTTTATAACTCTCATATTCAAACATTTACCAAACTTTACATTAAAAGAGCTTTTGTCTTGCCATAGTTCAAACCACGCAAAATGGTTGCTGCTGCTACCGATGTCGATGTCGATGACGATGACGATAACGATGATGATGATGATGATGACGATGATGATTATGTAAGTGACGATGACGAGAGGGGTGCATTTAAATAAAGTTGAACTTTGTTAACGAACGAAAAACAACAACCGAAAAAAAAAAACAACAACAACCAGGAATAACAAAACACTTTAAACCCTTTTGCGTAAAAAAAAATAAAAATAAAAAATAATAATAATAATTCTAGCAATTTTGTCAACATGAAAACGTAAAATGGAAAAGTTGCTGGAATAAGGAGAGACAAGAGCGACACAAATCAGAAGAAGATAAAAGAATTTTGTTTTCTTTCTTTTTTTTTTTTTTTTGTTTTTTGTTTTTTGTTTTCCTGGTTTTTTTCCAATTTCTCAACTAATTGGTGATAAAAGTTGTTGCCAAGTGATTCACTATTCATTTTACCATGATTTTACAAAAATTGTCCTTGATTGCAGGCAGTGCTTAAACGAAAACGTATTGCATGCAGTTTACTGCTAATAACTGGAATTAAAATTTGCACATACGTATGGGCATGCATACGCTTTTAAATACAAACGAGAAAAAACCTAAAAATTCAAGACGTTCATGACTCCATATAAGATATTGGACTTGAAATATTCGGATTTAAAACAATAAATAAAAAATTAGCTCAATTCGTTTTTCCAGGCCCCCTAACTAGTCAGGGCATACCTGATGATCTCATATAAAAAAACTAAGATATTACTTAGGACCGATGGATAGACGGACTGGTGGGTAGATAAAGCGCTGGGTGGACGCACCGATGGATAGAAGGGACCAACGGATAGACGAACTGGTGGGTAGACAGCCCGGTGGGTGGACGGACCGACGGAGAGATGTACATGCTTAAATCGATTTAGAATTTGATGCCGAGCAAGAATATATATATATACTTTGTGCGGTCTCTGGTACTTCCCTCTGGGTGTTGCAAACGTTTTGACAAAACGAACATACCCCTCACCCTTTGGTGATGGATATAAAAATATAGGCCTATCGTGTACTCATGTTAACGTCCCATATATCAAAGTTACGAAATTTCTCACTTTTGACACTTTTTACATTTTTTAAAACGTAATTGGATTTTTTTTTTTTTTTTTTTTTTGTTTTTTACTAGCTTCACTAAGGAGGAAAGTTATAAAACAAGCCAACGTGTTAAAAATTTTGCCGATAAAAATCATCTTTTTATCTTTGTCTTTAGTATATAATGTTCAATTTTTTAAGTGAAAGCGATGTTATTAGCGCGTGGTTGATGTTAAGGGTTTTCAGTTCAATTGTTCACTGAGCTTAATTGCTTGATGGGGATGACGAACAATTGGTGACGTACAAAAATCGGACACCTTCTTCTCATTTTGCCGCCCATCAATTACACGCCAGATGAATCATGCGATTTATCTCCAATTATTATCCTATTATATGCTTTCACACAAACAAACATAAATATATATATATTTATACATAATGCAGTGTATTGTTGTATATTCCATAACTTGCTAAACTCATCCATCCATCCATCCATCCACCATAAGTGTGCATAACATTCGATACACACATAAACATATGTTAGCCATTGTAAACACGAATACATGCTTAAAATCATGTTACTCGAGCCTATTTATAAACATTTCTTGATCTTCATACGGCTTAGATGAGGATCGCTTGTATTTGCAATAACAAACAGTTGTTTTATAGTACATAAGTAGCCATTTACTTAAATACTTTACGTAAAGAACAAAACGGTATCTTTTTACAAAAATGATTGATTGCCTAATCACTAGAAAGTCAATCGTCTCTATGGGAATGGTCGATGGAAGATTTTTAGTATTATTATTATTTTTATTATTAATTTCGCCAGAGAAATAAATTCCAAGACTAAATAAACTCTTAAAGCACTTAAAGATAGCATCTAAGTGCTATCGGCTTTTACTAAAAAATTCTACCGCACTTGAGATTCGAACCCACGACCACTGAGTTGCTAGTCGAGATTCCTCGTCGTCGGCCACTCGGACGGATTGGAAGGTTTTTAAAACGATTTGAATAGGGTGCTCGTAACATTTTTTACCCACTCTGGGCTAAATAGTACCCTCTACCCCCAATCAGCAAACCCGGGTAATGTGGTACAAATAGCATCGCAAAGCTAGACATGAGGAGCGACAGTGACCGGCCTTGCAGCGGTGTGGTCTTCACCAGCAATATGTTGGGGCAATCGTCTGCCTTTGTACTTCAGCTTAATAATTTTACTTTGTTAACATTCGTCGTTAACTGAACAAAGCAAGATTAAGTATATTTTTCTGCTCTAATAACGGAAAGGCTTGCGCGGTTTCTTCTCAGACTCACCGTCGGCTGCCCTTAGCTATGAAATTCTGCTCCGGCAGTGATGCTTGCGCGTTTTCTTCCCTGACTCCCCGTCGACTGCACGTAGCTAGGAAAGTCTGCTTCGATAGCGACGCTTGCGATTTTCCTCCCTGACCCACCGTCGACTACAGTTAGCTAGACAACTCTGCTCCGATAATGATGCTTGCGCGTTTTTCCCCGGCGGAGAGGCTCCTCGAGCGATGATGCCTCTGATCTTTACCCCCGCACTCACCATCAGTTGCACTTTGAGAGAGAGAGAGAAAGATTAGCGTAGAGAGGCGATCTCACCTCAACGAGAAAGCTTAATGCGTACGGGGACATAACGAAAGCTGAAATTGCGGGAGTTTTATTCGGCGAAATAGGCAGCGGCAAATAGGCCACATTCTCTGCAACAAATTTTCTGATAACGTGGGCCTGGCGCATCTGAGGTAGAAAAATACCACCACCAATACAAATTTCTCAAAGCCTCAACTCTTGGCGCTATGCTTAACTACTAATGCACTAAAATTAATTTTCACATTTTATTAGCGCACATATCGACAAGACATTTAACAACCTATGTTATTAACAGCGGCTACCGTTTATATTAAAATTTAATTTGCTAATTAAATTTTAATATATCATTCTGGGATTTCAACTCCCCGTTAGGATAAAAATTTCATCATTAATTGTACCAATAAATCGATAGCAACCATCTGTGCACCGAACATGCAAGTGGTGTAAAGAATGGATTTTCCGAAATATAATTACGAGATCAAAGGTTATAGATGAAAATATGGAAAAAATGTCGATATTTTTTTCGAGATTCTCCCAGTTTATAATCTATTGTCGGCGTGCAGGCAAAAATATCACAAGCATTTCTCAACTAACGATTTTTAATCGATTAAGTAACCTTTCTGTCAAATTTCAGCTTCGTACAAACAAAAAAAGGGTCCATCACACTGATGCCATTCAGTAGAAACACGTATATGCCAAACGCCGGTAGTTCTAGATTCAAAACAAAATATATATGTATATATATATATATATGTATATACATTTCATTTTTATATATTAACTAGTGTTCAGCTTATGCTATGTACATCTGTAGTTACATAAATAACACACATTCTGTCATTGTTGAGAATAAGCAGAAAAATTTATTTTAAAAGACTATTGAAAAAGAAAGAGTAAAGAGAAAGCAAATGCAAAAAATTTAATTCATTTTAAAATATAGCATTCGATCTTTCTATTGCTTTCCTAGAACACTTTCCAAGTAAATCAAGCACAAATAATTTTTCTTCTCTTAATTAATTAATTTAAGACAAGGAAAGCAATCAAAACTAAAAAATAAATATCTTAAAAATATTATAAAAATTGCATATACATATATACATATATATATATATATATATATATATGATTTTATAAATTTTCTTACTTCTATTACTTCAAAAAATTATTTTATTCCAAAGTAAATGAAAAATTGTTTGAATTTTTTTTTTTTTTTACACAAACTTTTTCAGATTTTTTAAACTTTTTTCTGCTAATAAAATATATATTATTCATGTATCCATAGCTTTATACGAACAAATGATGAAATATATGATATTATCATTATAAACTTGGTATAACAAGCTAACGATGACTACATGAAAAAAAAAAAAAAATTGTAATAATAATAATAAGAATGAAAAATATAGCTTGTCCGTATCCCTTCCTATCTTACACTATATTTAAATTAATGAAATATATATTAAAAACAGCACGCAAATATCTTTAAAGCAATTTTTGTTATTGAAAATAGATAAAAAATATATATAAAAAAAAAAAAAATAAATAAATAAAATGAAAAAAGAGCTTACATGCAATTAATGAATAAGATGGAAAAATTAAACATTACAAAACCGAATCGATAAAAGAAAATTTATCATAAAATAGGACAGACAATAGCTTGGAAAATATATCAAAAGAAAAGTATAAAAATATGAATATCGATATAAACACTAAATGTAATTATAAAGTTAAATGGATAAGCAAAACTTCTCTGACAAAATACACAAAACAAAAAAAATAAATAAATAAACGAATAAAGAGACGGATTGTAGTTAAAAAGGCAATCAGCTTTTAATCGCTCCACAAGTATCTCGGAAGCGCCATAGTTTAGTTTCCTAAAGCGACCCCCGCCGAGAATTATCGCATTGATCTTCGCTTGTTTAACTGGTAAGACGGTAAAGAGACGCCCCCTTACACAAAACACATAAACTAAATTAAAAATCTGCAAAGAAATAAAGATTCCGAAACTTAGATATCCATCAATATATGTATATATATTTAAATATACAATTATGCATTTGTATGTTATTGTTATTGGACAGGTTTTAACTGAAACTCTTAGTATATTGCTTAAAAGTTTCCGATGGACTTGTTTCTCAAGACTCCTTCAAGGATGACGCTATCAGGTCAATAATTCTTTCTAATATATATAAATATATAATTATGCATTTGTATCTTGTTGTTATTGGACAGGCTTTCTTAATACATTGTTTAAAGGTTTACCATGAACTTACTTCTCAACACAAATACCCCTTCAAGGGCGGCGCTACCAGTTCAACAGTTCCCTAATATTTTTTGTGCTACTCTTTTTAATGGAACAATGAATCCAAAAGTTGATCTAAGTCTTCTTATAAAGTAAATGAGTCGATAACCGCTGGAATGGTGCGGAGCTCCAGAAACGTTTTGTTTTGGACATATTAAAAGCAATGTTAAAGAACTGAAGAAAGAAATTAGGTTACCAACAATTCAGCAAATTAAAATAAGAACACACACACACAATGTGTAACATTGACAAATAGCGGAGAGTGGTGGGTGTATGGGTTATTCATGAAAAACCGGAGATGAAAACGTCATCTCGAATGAATCTTATGACATAACCTCAAACGAAACAAAATAGCTGTAGGCCTTATGAAAATTGTATGTAGATATCTAAGAATCAGAAGCGCAAAATCCTTTCTTCACATGTTCTGCTTAACAAAATAAAAAGTTAAAGTTAGTTTACTTACTTAAAACATTAAATCCAAAAGACAATCGTTGTTTTTATTATTAGTTTTCAGCCTCCCTCTCCACTTCCATTTCACCACTCTCCATTTCTATTATTGAGTCAATTAATGCGTGATACTTTTGTGTTAACATAGAGACGTTGAAATTGTCCGGCGACTTGTAATTGTTATAGACAGTCTTTAGTTCGGCGATTGGCGCATTACGCGCAATGACTGCAAGTCGTCTTGCTATGGGCTTAATGTGCTCAATTTGGTATTTAGTATACCATTGTAAAGTAGATGTCCAACAGCTATCGATAAAGCCAGTTGGCAAGGCATAATTGTCCCGCTTTAAAATATTTGAAGACAAGTAGACAGCAGCGGCAGCAATTTCTGAAGGTTTGTGGTGAGCCATATCGGTTTCAATCATGGCCAATTCCACGAAATACTTGGACATTGCACGATGAGTGGAATCTGCATCGGCTGCTTTTGAAAAGCGTTGTAAAAAGTGTATTGGCAGAGGTCGGGATAGATTACACTTTAAAGTTTTTAATATTTTCAACTCCATTTGACGTATTTGTTGAGTAGTGTACGTACCGTCAGTAATGTAAACAAAATCATATAATGCCGGTGGATGAACTTCTTCATATTTGGAAGCTATAAACAAAGCAGTCGCCCCCACTAATTGCAATTTTGAACGTGGCAAATCATAAACTATTTGCAAAAATTGGTCAATAATGGCTACAGCTAGTTGAAATGTTTCAGTAACCAATTTAAAGTTAACATGAACCTCATAAATCCAGTCAATTAATATTGGGCGCATATGGGCCTTGATCACAAGTTGGTTTCCTAGATAGTTTTTATGTATCGGTTGTTCACTTTCCAAATTATAAAGATGTTCGTAAATGTCATTGGTATAGCCGGAAACCAAAAGTGAGTCTTCATCATTTTTATCAATGTCTGTAACAATACTGAGCAATTTCGACGAGTACGAATCCCGCTGGACCGTTTGTTGATCTTCGGATTTAATTGTCATACTCGAAATTTGATTTACCAAATTCGATTTCTTAAGAGCTTCATCTCCTAATCCTTGCTTCAATTTATTCGTGGCATTACGAGCTAAATTAGTGCATTCACGTTTTAACTTGGGCTGTTCGCCGCTTCCTTCTTCAAATACAGATGAAGCCCGCTTTCTAGCAAGAATATGTTCTTTCAAAGCTTCATTTCTATTACCGGACAATTGTTCGTTTTCAGTTTTTGCGGCAATGTTCGTCGCCTTCCGAAAAAGAATTGAAGTAGGATTTACCCTATCCTGAATAACTGCACTCGTCGAAGATATTCCATCAATTGCTTTGCTGATTACATTAGCATTTTCGCTGATTGTGTTTGATTTGCTGCAGGGAACGTTTATTTCCCCAGAAACATTATCTGGAAAATTTTTCTTAAAGGATGGCTTAAGACTGAGATTCTGTAAATCAGCAAATTTGCTGCGTTCCCCAGTAATATTTTGTTTAGAGTTCAAAGCGCCAAAAGGTGCATTTTCATCCTCAGGTTTATGTTTGATTTTATCCGCTTTCAACATTTTGTTCTTGAAAACTCGATCAAAAAAGTTTGCAAGAAAATGTGCTTTTCGATCGCCAAACACCTTAGTCCAGATTACAAAAAATCCAACAAAAAAATATAAATTCTTCGAAGCTGTTGGAGATATATATTTTAATCAATGTCATGCAATTGACTACCAAACACCACGCCTTCTAGAAGATAATAAATATCGAATTTTTTACAACTAACCTCAGATATATTTTTTCATAATTCTCAGCAATACCCAGCGTTGTATCGTTTTTTTTCTTTCTTTTTGACATTTGATAAGTATCCGTTACAAGATAAACAAATTGTAATAAATGAAAATAACAAACCGGAACGAAACGTGCTAATTATGAACATTTTCACTATTGCTCTCGTTTTCAGCTGCTTTTACTAAATGGCTAACCATGAAATCGAAAACTAATTTTCAGCTATGTGGTAACTTCACTTTACTGTGCCGCATTTTTCCGAACCTAATACAGCTCTTTATGCCAATAAGCGTATGATTTACTTTTAGCGCTTTTATCTAAGGGTTGAAACGCACACCGCTTAATTGAGACGCTTGTTTGAATTGCTAAGTGTTTATGTAATTTTTTAAATTCTTAAATTATAGTACCATTAAACAGAAAGCAATTTACTGATCGTTCTTACCATAAAAGATATTACTAGAAACAATTCTGTTTCCAAACTAAAAAATTATAATTTGAATGTTTTTATCTGTGAAACGCATAAGCAAACTAATCGTAATTTTAAAAATAAAGCAGTTGCCTGCCTAAAGTAAATCAAGGAAAAATAAAAAAAAAAAAAAAACAAATAAATAATAAGTGAAGGCAAAATCTATTACTATTCAAACCTAAACTTACTTCTTTTACTTTTTTAACTATTTTTGGCTTCATGTAATCGACATTTGATGAACATATCAAAATCTACGAACATATTGCAAACTGTACGCAAAGACAGAAAGAACTTGTTAATTTCCGTAGTTAAAAAATTAATAATATAATCAGTAAGATATAGTAAATTAAAAAGTACATAAAAGTTGAACAATATGTCAGTAAAAACTAAGGAGAAGTATTAAAAAATTCGGTTTTTTTAATTTCTTTTATCTTGCCCTCAAATTTCAATTTGTAAATCTTGAACTTTAAGTTCTTCCCACTTACATGACATCTTTGCTCAAATCTCAGGCTTGAAAATTTAAGTTGAACGCAAGGAATATACACGAATAGAAACTTTCACGCAAAGCTGGTTTGCAAGTTCTTGGCATCTCTAAAGGTTTTTATGAAACAGATAAATAAAAACAAACACAAAAAGAAGAAAGAAGACAAAATGAAGACGCGTTATTTATTTATTATTTCAAAACTTTTTCATAATGTATGATTTGAAATAGTTTCTTATTTGTAATTTTTTAGATCCTTTGTTATTTTACTTGTCCTATTTTTATTTCTCTATAGATATTTACATAAATTGCTTTATTTGTACTTGCGCTCGTAAACCATGTAAGCGCGTCTTTTTACATGTTATTTTTTGCAGCTTAACAAGTTTATATTTAATTTTTGCATATATCATTGTTAATTATTGTTAATTAATCGGTTAATCGCAGACACCTAAAGCTTAAGAAATAAACAATAATTGAAATTATAACAAATTTTTTGTGCACATGAAATATATGGATTTTGATTTTTCAATCTTAAACATAAACCCGGGAAGAGTTTGCCCACAAACCACAGTATGTGGAATAACGGAATGGAACATTTGCAATGCATACAACAAATAAATTTTTGATTTTAATAGGGATTGTCTGGCACTATTGGTAACATTCGTTACAGGGCTGTACAGCATATATTAACTGAAGAGTAATAATATGTCTGCTTGAAGTACTAGTTACGGCAAGCTAAGAAATGATTTTATAATAAAAGCCAGGGTATGTTGATATTATTCGATAGACAGGATTAAGTTTCTTTTCTTTCCGAACGTTTATACGAGCAGATGAAGACTGAGAACCAAAGAAATTGAATATTATACGCATTGAATTGTTTTTGTAGCATAAGAATCCTTCTTGCTAGGTTAAAATAGGATGACATACAAACATTCACAGAAATCTCGAACAAACCAAGCGGTTCTTCATAAGGTTTTATTCATACTTCATTTTCTAAATCATTATTTCTTCTGCTCTTCAAGTTTTCATGAAAATTTCTAAGGCCTATTGCTGCCTTCAGCCAGTTCCAGCTTATGTTTTTATTGTAAAAACACAAAGAGCAAAGCATGTTAAGTTACCCTATTCCTATAACATTTTGTTTTTTACACGATAGATACGTTCTTTATAAAACCGTGCAAAAAAGTCGTATAAAAAAAATGCATGCCACGTATAATAAAAGTGAGGACATGTTCCGTGACTTTGGAAAATCGTGCAAGGTGGGAAAACTCTAAAATCTATTTTGCCAAAAAAGACCGTGTAGAAAAAGTAATAATGAAATCCGTTTTAGATATTTATAAAACAAAAGCATTTCATTATTATTAAAAAAAAAAAAAAAAAAAAAAACTAGTGTATAATGAAAACTCAGTTCATAGGTATAGCATGTAAAAATTTAAAATAAAACTCGAAATAAAGATAAACTTCGCAACTATTCGTTGCTACTTGATGACTTGAACATTAGCTTTCAGAATTGCATCGCACGAACTGAACACTCATGTAAACAAAGATATGCTGAGCTCAAGTTGAACTATAACGAGATAAAGAAAAAGGAATTACATGTTTTAATGATATCTTAGCGTCACTTAAACACAGAGAGATAGAGAGAGATATCGTAGAATACTCATAGTGATAATCATCATAAAATTATAGTTCAAAGAAATTGCGTAAAGCAGACGGGAAACTATAGCAAATAAATGCATAAAAATTTGAATTTATTGTCTACGGGCGATGCTGTAATGCCGATGGTAATTTGCATTATTTAATAGATTTAATAGATTATTCCATTTAAAAAAGTTGTCTTAACGGATTCTTCCAGTTAAAAAGCTGGCGGCTTTGCAAATTAAACGATCTGGCCATTTAAGTTGTTAGTTGGGCATTCAACCATTTTGGCAATTTTTTTATTTATTATAAGCGATTCTGTGCTTTACCTTTTAACAGGGAATTTAGCGAGGGCTTTGTTTATTTTAATTTGATCTTATAAATTTTGCCAAAGAATAAATTCTTTTCTCTTAAAGCGCTAGCATCAAAAAAATGTCTACTGCACTTGAGATTTGAATGCACGACATTGAGTTAAAAGTCGATACTCTTGCCTACTCGGCCACTCAGGCGGCAACATTCGATAGCACCTACCATTGGTGTCCGTAAGCGTCTAATTAGATGCAATTAATTTGTAGACGGGATAGGAATAGGTTAACTGTTACAATGGGGAATGGGGTAGCAAATTGCTTACAAGAGTAGAAAAAGATCCGTCAAAGTTCAAGATTTAAAATTTATTAGATAAATATAATCAATATTTCAATAATATATAAACCTAAACGGTCGATGATAACTTTTATCAACGGAATTTCCAACATCATTTTTTACTTTTCTTTATTATTCGTAATTTCGATTTTTACATTGAGTTGATTGTATAGAATGAATATGAATAGATTTATGAATTCACGGTTTTAAAATGACTGAGAGATTGGCCAGTTGACAAAGTGGTCAACAGAAATATTTTATAATTCTTTCTCAGAGTTAAATGCCCAACTTTATTACATTGAGATTTTCTTTAGATTTACTTTGTCGCCTGTCCTTACATGTTGAATTGATTTATTTAAACTCTTTTTTTACTGTAATTTTCTTTATTGTATACGCGCTCTTATACATCATTTGGGTGAGTTGTACAATATAACTAACTAAAATATTCTATATATATAATAGACAAAGGGAGACAAAGGGATTATGGTTAAAATCAGTGTATGTATGCATGCAATCAGGTTGAATTACGGGAATTATTCTAAAAATATTTTTCTAAACTTTCATTTAAAATCGTTGTATCCTTTATATAAATATATATATATATATATATATACATATATTTATACATATTAAATATATAATTAGAATGTACATGTATATATACGTACTGCAATAACAACTTTAGCCGTTTAACGAACACATAAATACGAAAAATAGGGGAATAGGGCAAAATAAAATTATATTAAGATACGCTAAGAATAATAAAATAAATTTTAACAAAATAGAATTTCAAATTACTAGATATTTTCGTCTTACGGCTTGTTGATTGAAGAATTTGGTTGATTGTAAAATTTTAACATTGAACAGAATTTACATAACAGTGCAACCGCTCCGTCCGATCTGCTCGAGGGAAGTGGACCGTTTAACTTGCGTTTGATGCGGTGTGGAAGAATTTTGATTGGTATCCATACTCAATTGACGTGTTATGTTGTATTTGTTCTTATCCATGGAATAATTATCATATGACCAGCTGCGGTCTGCATTGTGATTAGAATGATTATTTGACAATAAATTATTCAAGCCATCAATCTGGTGATGATGATCTGCTAAGCCAGGGACATTACGAGAATTATTTATATCCCCATTGTCAACGCTTCGATTATTGTTCAGATTAGCTTGACCTCCAGTTATAATAACGGATGATTGCATATATTGGTCCAACAAATATATGTGTGGTTGCAACGATACCATAAATGCACCATACATGCACTCGTGATCGAATGCCCATTGTGTCACTCGTTTCAATGAATTTTGTATACGTCCACAGGCGGCCAAGGACTCGGAACGTATTACCACATTTATTATTCGTCCAATGGAGGCTGCATCTTGTAATAAAATAGAAAGGACCAAGGCGAAATCAATGCAATTAGCCTCAATGAATAATTGCAGCAGATAACGGATTTTTATCGCTAACTTCTCAGGTAATATCTTTTGACGTCCTTCAACGTATTGCATACCCAATGAAAGGGAAGATGAAGACATGTCGCCGTGTAAAGAATGATACCTTCGATAGGGTGTATTATCCAGAGATATTTGAGAATTAGAACGTGACGATTTCACAAATTCCGATGCGTGACCGGGCTGAGCTGTAAAGGGGACGCTTGCAGTACATTGGAGAACCTCGTTCTCCTTAATGGACGGAATTTGGGCTATATTACCGTTATTGGTGCTTGTCGGTGTATCCATTAAGGCCAAACTAAAATATCCTGACTCAGAGGTTTGACTCGATGAATGAGCTTTCAACTGCCATTGCGTGTAATCCGTATCGCATTCCTCAATAGGAGGTATAGACATCGCAGGTGGGGGCAAATTCAATTCCTCATGCAACGATATCAATGCCGTAACATAGTCTTCCAAACAGGCAGCTTTATCTGATTCCTGTGACAGCCAAGTAACTAAATGAAAGTCCAAAAATGCGCTCATATGGCCTAAATCAATAAGTCTGTAATTTCGCAGTAATTTGCGCGCATGACGATGCAAAATCGTCTCGATACAAAATATTTCGCGGCGCTCTCGTATAGTGTTACTTCGTTCAGATTTTCTGCGTACCACAAAAGCACCGCTCACAGTACCGTTAAGGGGTGTGGAGACAGTCACTGTTTCATTGGTCGTCATTATTTTTTCTTTTTTCTCTTTGTTAACATTCGCCAAACCCGTGGTGGAAAAGCTTCGCTCTCGTGCAATCGGTCCCAATACCAGATTAAATGCGTCAGGATTTTGATTTGCCTGCGTTTGCGATTGAGGGGGCGGAGCTATTTTTACGTTAACAACCATCGAAGAACGCGGCGAATCAATTTCATTGGGATCGATTGCCTTCAAAAAGCGTATTAAATCTTTAGCTAAGTCCCATTTGCGGTGGAGCAAAGCCACTTCCAGCAATAGCGTCGCATATTGCTTGCTAATAACCGAGGGTTCAAGATTTTGCAGAATTATCAGGTAACTAGCGGCCGTTGCCAATTCCTCGGACTCTAAGCAATGCTGAAACAGGTCTTTAGGCTTGCCTGCGATCGAGAATAGATGCGGCCACAGCGCAATTTCGGTTTTACGCGCGCACTGAACTATTGTTTGCAAGTAGACAGGAAACTCGCGTATGAAATCGAGAACGCTCGGTAATAGCGCATCCGGTATGGGCTCTTTACTGGTGGCCTCTTCCTCTAGTACCTCATGTAACAGCAGCTCCAGCGAATGAGGAAAATACGGTAGAAATCGACATGATTGAGCGATTTCCCAGGCGCTGTAACCTAAATTGCGTTTGATAAGCTGACGTAAGATTTTATGCAAATATACTTGAGATTTACGCTCCAGCTGCGAAAACGGAAGAGAAAAATGCGAGTTCGTCTCATTCGTATATAGTATTGTTTCATTTTCCACGCCCAGCGCAATTACATTATCAAAGAGTATAGCCAAGGGATATAATTTTAATGGGAAAGACAGCATAATTCTTTTCGACATAAATGTGTGCAAACGATGGGACGCGTCACGTATTTGCTCATTAACTGGTGGTAAAATTGGTAACCAAACGCGCATGCCGTGGACACCTGAAAACAACCACAGGCAATCCCGCATCGGACTGCTTTCTTGAGTAGAATTCGAAAGCCAGAAACATTCGACACACGATGCTAGGCAAGAAGCCATGAGAGAGTTAACAACAGCATTGCTGTTATCGCGTTGTATCATTAAAATCCGGCCGCATACGTTCACAATGATCGTTTCAGCAGGTGTAGTGACAAGGGTAGACTCGTTGCTCCCTACTCCAGAGGTTGAAGTTTTCGCAATAAAGTCACTGCGCAAATTGGTAACGGTAAGCGACACGATACAAGCTGGATGTATGCAAATGCTTTTCACATCCACTTCATAAGCACAGACGGCATTCAGAGTATAGGCGTCGCGTCTACGCATCATAAAGAGACTAACAATGCCGTCAGCAGTTAAAGCAATCAGTTGATCACGAAACATATTCAATGAAATGACAGGTGCCCTCACTTGTATTCTATTACCGAATTGATTATCTAATTTGCACTCTTCCGGATAACAACGAATTTCATCGGTGCGATCAAGCAAAGAGTAACAACCCGTAACAATGAAACCCTTCCACCACAGCACACCACCGGATACTACAAAGTCTTTCTCTTGCGATTCATTTCCAAAAAGTTTCCACTTTTTCGTAAGCATAGAATAATGGGCTAAGCCTGTTCTACCGGCCACGGCTAAATGAAGACCTTCAGCATCTATAGCGGAGTAACGAATTGGCCAATTGGTGGCGGCATATGTCTGCGGTAACTGTAATACCGTCCAGTATTTGCTTTCTGCCAAAACACTGGATATATCCACAGAATTTTTCACCTCGATACAATCCCCTGATTCCATGTCTGTCAATAAGCTAGTTGCTCCTGTTTGATCGTTTGGGAAAACGAATTTGCCACCGAAATAGATTTTCTCCAAGTTGTCGCCTTGATTCAAGTATAAAGTGTCATCACCTAAAGAAAAAAAATATTTTCTAATATTATATAAAACAAATCGCTTTTAAATCGGACCTTGTAAGAGAACGTGCGGATGAGAAGTCATACATGGATTCATAGTCAAACAGCTTTTAACAAAACTGAGTTGCAGAACATTGGAAAATGGTGCATCCATCGATCTATCGCCCCTTTCCTTTTGCCTGCAAGTCATGAATAATTGATAACCCTCCGTGGACCATTCCAATTTGTTGACCTTCAATGGGTTATTATGCGCCAAATCGACGTGCACCCCAAAATCCCAACTTAGTGACGACATCAGTAGTGCGCCAAAGGTACTCCACAAAGCTATACCGCCATTCTCCCAACTAGCAACCACAACACAACCGTCTGGACTCCATTTTAGCTCGTTAACAGCTCCTAATGTTCCCGGCACTACGGATGAATTTAGTGACAAACGATGCGCAAATTCTAAACTACCAGTCGTATCTTCTATGGAATATACAGAAATATCGGAATTTTGCCTACCAAATGCCAATAAACGAAACTTATGATTAACGCCACAAACGGTCGCATCTTCTACTTCTGGTATCCAGAAACCATGCATATTAGGCGTTTCAAATCTTAAATGATTAGCTATTAAAAATGCCGCTCTATTATCGCTGAATACAGCTGCACAACCTCCAATAAATGGCGAATACTCTAAAGATGACAGGTACGCGTTTGCTGCAATTGGCGGCACCATTTTAACATTGCAATGCTGATTTACATAAAACTGTATGCTGCGCAATTTAATATTTTCACCCATTGGTTCATTATGACTAAGATCCTGTGCCTCCAATTCAGACCATTGTATTCGAATCAATTCGCATGTGTCAGTTGCTACTAAGAGCTCTGTTAAGCTAATGCAGCAAACTGCCGTTACTGTAAAACTTAAATGTACAATGCACCGTTCTTTAAGGCTCAACTGAGGAATGTTCTCTTTAATGAACAATTCAGCCGAATCTCTTTTCAAACTAACTGTCGGAGGATCCACTTGGAGAAATATACCACCGCCATTACTATCGAAATCAACTTGATACAGCAATAGCATTCCTCCTGTAGTTAGAATGACTAATTGTCTCGAGTCAGGTTTCCAAACGATGAGTTTATTAGCACCATAACTTAACATAGATTCTAAGTTTCGTCGACTATAAACAATTGGTACCAAAGGATTCGCATACCAAATACCCAAAAAATCAGAACCGATAGCAGCTAATAATATTTTAACTGCATCAAAACTGATGTGTTTAATGGCCTCACTTTCACCAGGCAATGCCAAATTCACTGATTTAGGCCAACCAATTGGAAAGTACATGACGTCTTCTCTCGTGCTGCCGTGCCAGTTCTAAAACAAATAAAATATATATATATATATTTAATTTAATACAAAGGATTCCTTATAAATTCCGAATTTTAATTACTTTACTGTTTAGGTAACTAGTTAATTATATGTTTAAACATTTCAAATTATTGCGTAAAATTGATTTCTTTTATTAAATTATCACAATCCATTGAATACGAAAATGAAAACATCAGCGTTAAGGGTTCCCGTAAATATTTCCTTTGTGAATAAAATAAAAATTCCACCCGTAGCGCAAAATAACATTGATAAAAAGAAAAACTCTTGTCGCGCTCGTTTTTTTCCCCCACTAAATGACCAAGCAATGTTGCCAGACACAAAAATTTTATATACAGCCACTAAAGTGGCTAAGATAATAAAACTACGCCTATCTTCCCAGGCGTGGCGAAAAAATTATTTTTTTAATTTTATGAATTTTATAACTTTGTAAATTACGCGCATATACCATATTATGGTTTATTTAATATTTATATGTTTATATATGTATACAATTTATAAAGCTTACAAATCAATTATTAAATTAAATGCTTCACCAGGCTTGGGACTATAACCTCACCCACATTGTATCAATCCCCGAAGTGCTTTCGACAATTTACTGTAACTGATTTTTTAGAATTTTTTAATTAAAAAATTAAATTTTAAATTTAAATTAATTAATTAAAATATTTCATTTTTTACCCTTTTAAAGGTTTGTAAAGGAATTTCCAATGTACAGAGTTGCTTAATTTTACAATATCTTTTTTTAAACAAAAATATGGAAAATGCATAATTGTTATACACCATCTGGAATTAACCGCGTTATTAGAGGACAGTACGAAGAGATTTTTCTAAAAGGCTGTATAATGCGAATCGATTCCTTTATTCAAGCTGGCAAAAAGTATATTTACCTCTGTACTATGTACGACGTCAGATAGGTTTCATTTTTGAGTTACAAGTTTTTTGCTTTATGTATGCATAATAGCTGTGAAAAACGCTCTCAAATCACACGGAAGCTAAACAGATTACGTTTTGCGTTAGTTTTCGCTAGTAATGTTTATAAGAAAGGCAGAGTTGTTTTAGAGTTGCATTTATAAATGAAAACAGCTGTAAATGGAAAATAAATTAATTCCAAATAAAATTGTTTACTTACCTACAGTTACACCAAAACAAAATATTTTAGACCTGTGAAAGAGTACTAAAACAATTTTTTCTTGCTTTTTATTCCAATTTTCTAACTAATACTCTTAATCCGCCTCCTTCAGTATCCTTATCTTCTGGTTTAGTTGTTAAATGTTTGAAAGTGTAAACATTGCTTCATTCGTAGTAATACACAGATGTTATATGAATACTTTATAGAATCTTTGTTTATATGAAACTTTGCAACGCTGTATCTCTTAAAAGAGAAAAGAATATATATGTGGATAGATCGCTCATTTTATATATCATCAAGTGTGCATCAAATTTATAATAAAGTCAATGTAAATCGGTGAAAAATGGAAGCTAGTCCGGAAAATCAACCGCTACAACAGCAAAAGGATATGCTTCCACGTCCATTTAAATTATAAGTATCTTTTTTTTTTGTGTAATAATTACCATAAAGCAAAAGGTTTAATGCTTTTATTTTATTACAGCCCATCAAATTGTTAGCTTAACCGGCATTAGTTTCGAAAGGAAAAGCATAATAGTAAGTGGTTTCAATGTTTTATAAAAGGTAGTTAATTTTTACATATACGTACTTTTAAATAAATAGGGCGCCGTGGAATTAACTATAGTTCCAAACAATGAAAAAGTTCGTATAATACGTTTAAATTCCAAGCAATGTCGCATTTATCGAGTACTATTAAACGATGTTTGCGAAGCTGAATTTGTATATTTTGATCCCTATTTGGATATATCGCAAGGAGACGTGAAAACGTAAGTGTTTATTGCGATACTAATGATGCGTGAAGTCTTATTAATTTAGTCTGAAGCGAATATAATTTATTGCTTTTTGTCTAATCCATCCATAAATTCAGGCGCTCATTAGATACCATCTCTAAGAATCATTTAACGGCAGCTCAGAAAACTGATCCCGATGTTAATGCTGGTGAATTGTTTATACAAATACCACCAGAAGGTTATCATATGATACAGGAGGGTCGTGGCTTACGTATATGTATAGAATTTTCATTGGAAAATCCTCAAGGTGGGATACATTTTGTTATACCGCCTACTACTGAAGACGATAACCAGCCGAACAGCGCTCATATGTTCACGTATGCTTATGAGAATTCTACGCGTTTATGGTTTCCCTGCGTAGATAGCTTCGCAGATCCTTGCACATGGAAATTAGAGTTTACTGTCGATAAACATTTGACAGCTGTTTCTTGCGGCGAACTGGTTGAAGTAGTCATGACTCCCGACCTGAGACGAAAAACTTTTCATTATTCACTTACGGTGCCAGTATGTGCTCCCAATATCGCTTTGGCTGTAGGACCGTTCGAGATTTACGTGGATCCTCATATGCATGAGGTAACGCATTTCTGTTTGCCACAGTTATTGCCTTTGTTGAAAAACACAGTGCGTTATTTACATGAGGCCTTTGAGTTCCTCGAAGAAACATTATCCACACGGTATCCATTCACTTGCTACAAACAGGTTTTTGTAGATGAAGCGGATGCCGATATTAGTGCTTATGCTACTATGAGTATAGCCTCGGTTCATTTGCTGCATTCGATAGCTATTATAGATCAAACCTACATAACCCGCACGCTCATGTCGCGAGCAATTGCTGAGCAGTTCTTTGGTTGCTTCATTACTTCCTATCGATGGTCCGATACTTGGCTGGCCAAAGGTATTGCCGAATATTTGTGTGGCTTGTTTTCCCGTAAATGTTTCGGCAATAATGAATATCGCGAATGGGTACAAAAAGAATTGGCTCGCGTAGTTAAATATGAAGAGAAATATGGTGGCATAATATTGGATTGTAGCCAGCCGCCGGCACCATTGCCTGTAAGTAGTACGAATCCTTCGGCTTCCAGCGGTAAACAACAGGAAATTGTACATTATTTCCCTATAAAAAGTCTTCATACCGTTTCGCCAAAATATGTGGAAGCAATGAGACGGAAAGCTCATTTGGTTATTAGAATGCTGGAACATCGTATAGGTCAAGAACTCTTAATACAAGTTTTTAACAAGCAATTGGCACTGGCCACAAACGCAGCCGGCACCAAAATCGGTTTAGGCCTTTGGTCCCATCTACTTATATCCACCAATATTTTTATTAAAGCTATTTTTACAGTAACCGGTAAAGACATGTCGGTATTTATGGACCAATGGGTACGGACCGGAGGTCACGCTAAATTCTCTTTAACTTCAGTATTCAATCGCAAACGTAACACCATTGAATTGGAAGTACGTCAAGATTTTGTTAATCAGCGTGGCGTCCGTAAATACAATGGACCATTATTTGTCCAGCTGCAGGAATTAGACGGAACATTTAAGCATACGCTGCAGATAGAAAATACAGTAGTGAAGTCGGATATAACGTGTCACTCGAAAAGTCGACGTAATAAAAAGAAGAAAATTCCTTTATCTACAGGCGAAGAGGTGGATATGGATTTATCAGCTATGGAGTAAGAAAATAATTTCAAAATATAAGTAAATAAATAAACATATTTTTCCCCAAGTGACTCACCTGTACTTTGGATACGTCTTGATCCAGAAATGATATTAATACGTGACTTGAATATAGAACAACCAGATTTTCAATGGCAATATCAGTTACGGCATGAACGTGACGTTACAGCACAATTTGAGGCGATTAAGGCGTTAGAAAAATATCCCACAAATGCAACCAGATCTGCTCTAACTGATACAATTGAAAACGAGCAATGTTTTTATAAAGTTAGATGTGAAGCAGCGCACTGTTTAACTAAGGTATAATCTTATCTTACATAATTAATCAATTTTCGATCACTTTTAATGCATATCTATGCAGGTTGCTAATCAAATGGTTACGCAATGGAGTGGTCCGCCTGCTATGTTAAATATTTTTCGAAAATTCTTTGGTTCATTTAGTGCTCCACACATAATTAAACAAAATAATTTTGCTAATTTCCAATTGTATTTTTTGCAAAAAGTTATACCCGTAGCCATGGCTGGTAAGTAATTCGTTGTCCTTAAAAATTGTATATTATTTATTTCAGTCGCACTTATCAGGTTTGCGCACATCCCATGGCATTTGTCCGCCGGAAATTATGCGTTTCTTATTCGACCTTTTCAAATATAATGACAACACTCGGAACCATTACAGCGATGTCTACTATAGATCGGCTTTGGTAGATGCTTTAGGTAATTCAATAACTCCCGTGGTATCAGTAGCCCTAAGGGGTACTCCTATTACCTCGGATAGTTTGTCGGCTGACGCGAAGTATGTCGTAATTCGCTAATAAATTTTTAGAAATTTATATAAAAATGCCTTCGAATTTCTTAGACTTGTTCTTGAAGAGGTAACTCGATTATTAAATCTCGAGAAGCACTTGCCGTCGTACAAGTATATGGTTTCCGTCTCTTGCTTAAAAGTAATACGTAAACTACAGAAATGCGGTCATTTGCCTTCCTTGCCAAAGATCTATCGTTGCTACGCTGCATATGGTCAATATTTAGATTTACGCATAGCTGCTATGGAATGCCTGGTCGATTTTGTGAAGGTTGACGGACGTTGGGAGGATTTAGATCATTTAATTACTCTATTGGAAACAGATCCCGATCCTGCGGCTCGTCATGCTTTAGCTCAGTTATTAATTGATAATCCACCCTTTACCAAAGAAAGCAAAAGTCCACGATTGGATCGTCTCGAATTGGTAGAGAGATTATGGCGCAATATGAAGTAAGTTTCAATAATATTTTTCAAGAAGATTTACTCTACAGTACAGGTACAAATTTATAGCAATAAATTGGCTTATGATACTAAATTACGCTGCGATATGGTTGATTTATACTATGCCTTATATGGCAATAAACGTCCGCATTGCCTCCAATCGGCGGAGATGACAAATATGTATAAAGAATTGAAAGAAGCGTCCAATAAAAAATCAAGTTCATCTTTAACGCCGTTAATTTCGTCGAGTATTGGGACAAGTGCACCGATAACCGCTTCTCATACAATAGTTACAACGCATACAACGACCACTGCACCAACTCCGCCAGTGGATGTTAAAATTACTCACGTCTCGGATTGTACAGAAGAAAGGGAGCACAAATTTTCCCCTACCGCAAACGGCAACAGCAATAATAATAACAATAGCAATATAAGTAGTAACGTAAAGCGCACGGCCAGTGAAGCTTTTGAGGCAACGGATGACCTTGCAAAAATTGAAACTAGTGAAGAGATATCCGTGACGAAGGAACCCGTTAAGAATGAAACCTATGACGGTGACGGTAAGTTGGAGGTAAACGCATCGACAAGCAACGATGCTTATTCAGCAACGGAATCGAAAAAGTTCAAAAGTGAAATTTACGAAGAAGATGAGAACTCTGTAACAATCGTAGATGTATCCGAATCTACAATTGGTCGCATGGATAGTAGTTTCGATTCAAGTAAACCTGATAATGACTTTAAGCATAAATTGGACAACATTTCGAAGGTAAATCAGTTCAGTAATTATTTCATTGAATTAAAGAAAAAAAAAAAAGAAAAACATAAAACTTCTTTTTCTCTTGGTTATTTTTAGAAAAAGAAGAAAAAAGATAAAAAGAAGCATAAACACAAGCATAAGCACAAGCACAATAAAGATAAAGACAAGAATAAAGATGAGCGTGAGCGTAAAGAGAAGAAAGACCCGAGCATTTCCCGCTTACAAGCTAAAGAGGCTACGCCTGAAACACTTAGCTCAGCTGATAGCAGCAATAGCAACAGTAATCCGCCGTTTAATTTTCAATAGCAAAGGTTTTTTAATCATTCTATTAAATTTGAATCATTTTTATTAAAAAAGTAGTCGCAATAATGTTCTCGCTTGCGACTTAACCCTTTTCGGTCTTCTGCAATGTCTCACTCACTGCCACTGTCACAGAAGACATTAGTCTAGTCGTGTAAAAGACGGAGCCAACATGTTCCTTAGGTATACATAATTTTCCATAACAGTTTATTTATTTCAATAGATTAAAACATACCATTACACATCTCTAGGCGTCTCCCAAAAGCTAGCTAGCTAGCGGTACGTTTATTTCAGTCCTTACAAAAAAATTTATCAAATTTTTTTCACTGGGTATATATATATGTATACTTTTTTTTTTTTTTTCTTAAGACAAAGGGCTAAAAGTTGTTAATATTATATACCCTAGTATTGGTGCCAGGTTTTAGATTAGCATGCGCTATAAATTATAAGTTGAAGATGTTTACTTATTGTGTGATCTATATTACGTTTTTTTTTGTTTTGACTTTTGCATACCGATTAAAAAGAAATTTCGATGTTTTGTAAAATAATAACATCAAAACAAAATTTTCGAAACGTTTGAAAGTACATCGGTCCCTGTTGGTTCACTGGCGGACTCATAATTATCAAATACATCTACTTTCTAGCTTGTTTTTATTCCAAATTTAGCTTTATATATATATGCACATACATATATATATATATATGCACATACATATGCATGTATGCGTATTCATGCATACACACACACATACATGTATATAAATATATATCAAAATAAGTTTTCGGAAAACTAAATTCGAATAAAAACAAATTAGAAAGTAAATGTATTTGACTATTATAAGTCTGTCAGTAAGCCAATTGGATAGTTGCATTGTTATTTCTTAATAGAAATTTTATGCCGACAGTAGCTGTTCGATCAAATGTGTCCAAAAATAAGCCGGTAGTCTTATGGAAAAAAGTGTTCTCAATGAATCGACAGAAAAAAATCCACAATCACAAATTCTGCTGAAAGTAATTTTACGGGAAATTTTTTTTGTTTTAAATGTTCAGTTTTAAAGCAATGCAAGGAAGGATATGGCGACAAATTAAGAATTTTTTTTTTTTTTTTTTTGTTTACTATAATTTATATGTTTTCCATGAACTTAAACATTAGCCAAAAATTTATGAAAAACTTTTAAAGATAAAAAATATTTTGTATTTGTGTTAAATATATGTATATATATATATATATATATATATATATATATATATATATATATATAAGGCTTTAACATTGAATGCCACAATCAATTTTTGATTTGCCCGTTAAAGGTAAACCAATAATTATTTTTTTTATAAAAATTCGAACAAAGCGATTGTGCGTCTGGAATTTTTAATTACTAAAAAATAATTCAAAACATTTTTACACGTAATTTAGTGTTAACAAGAACATGATTTGACCTTAGCGAAAATAGGTAAAGAGGTTTGATTGAGCATCTTTGATCTCGAATAGCGCACAAACTAATTGGCTTGAGGGGGCAGATCATCAGTCCTGATTAGTCTATTGAACTGGTAACATTTTTAATGTTTGCGTAAATCTTTTCATCCCTTTAAAGATCCTATTATCTATCTACATCTACAATAGAATTCTCGAAATCTTTAGGTAACTAAGTGATTCACGTGGCTTTTCGATGTGCATAAAAGAGCAAAGATTTTATTATTTACATTGTTCTGGAGCACACGAAAGCAGTAATAGCCTGAAGTTACAATGAGCAGTGGTGTTGGCAACAAATCAAAAAGGTTGTCAACCCAGCTGGATAAGTTCTTAAGCAGGGATAAATGTGTGTTTAATTATTATTGATTTATCAAATAGGAATAGGGATACGAACGCCTCCCTAATGAAAAGAGTTAGTTCACCAGCAATAGATTTTCCTTGCAGGCAGAATCATGTCACATTGCTTGGCGTTAAGAGGCTCGTTTCAAAGCTGTTATCATTCCCCGGTTGCGTGAATTGTCCGCTAAAAATATCTGGCAACTATCAGCTATAGGCGACGGAAAACCATCTTCATTGCTAGTCCCGTACAAACTTGACTTCAAAGACTCGGTCCATTCGCATGCAGTCTTCCTTAAGATGCAATAATCGCTGTTACGAGTCTGTCTCCTTTCGATGAAAAGCAAAAGCTGTTCGTTGGACATATGGCAATTGTCAGCCGTGAGATCAATCCAGACCGTGGACATGTTAAAGAGTATTTTATGTGCGTGACACAAAGACATTAAAAACACGTACATTTTAAGAACAATGAATGTAAAAAATAAAAAAAATAAAAATAAAAAAATATATATATATATATATACACATAAATATATATATATGTATATAAATATATATACATAAATATATATATATATAAATAAATATATATATATAGAGAATAAACTTTTTCGGATCGCTTTAAACAGACACATATAATAGGTTAACATTGCCCGTCTATCAACTTGATGCAACATGATTCAATTCCATAGAAGAAGCCATTATCGATATAGAAGAGGAAAGTGATTTTCGGCTTGAATCATATCTATTTGTGACTACGACTAGATTGTTATTGTTATAATGAGAAAACTGTTGAATAAGTTATGGTAATTATATCTGATATTTCGTCTCGGGATGAATATATATATATATATATATTGTATGTATATATTATATATGATGAGAAAATAGATCTAAGATCCATTATAATAAGAAACGATGTACGAATATACGATATTTGAAATCATATTTTTACACGATTTGGCAGAAATTTAATAAAAAGTACAAAGTAAAACTTTTATTAAAATTTTTTGTTGATTTTCTATATATATCTTTTCCTTTTTTTTTTGTTTTCATATACTTTGGAAAAAGAATTTTTTTTTTTCATCGCCTAACGCAATTACGACCGGAAACAAGTGAAGGAGGAGAAAGAATAAAAGAAATAGGTGGCTGATGGTCGCAACGTAGTGGTTGTGTGTGCTAAACTTTGATATTTGAACCCGCGAACTCTCTATTGGTAGTCGCGATTCTCACCTACTCGGCTACTCATGATATACGAAAGAAATAAATGAGGATTAGGTCTCGCATTAGTTAAAAATTCTCACTCAAGAGAATTCTGACCGCGATTTACCGGTTATTTGAGTGCAAGCAAGTTTAGGTAAATTAATTTTTCTCTGAATAAACTTAGGTGCCAGGGTCGTAAATTTAATAAACAATAAAAAACATCAAGAAGACGGAATGGTTCGGTGAGTTGTATGAAGCTAAGCAAGCACGGCTTCAATCCAAGCGTGTTATAGATTATCGGCCTGATATTCGCCGTAGCTCTTAACAAATGTTCCAGTACCATTTTTTCTTTTTTTTTTTTAACATATCGTGATAAATTTTATTTTCTTTTTAACTTTTCGCATATTTAACGTACATAGATGTAAAATTCTAGATATTAAAAAAACTAAATTATTTTCGTTGATTTATATATAATTTTTTTTGTTCTTTTTTGTTTTTTTTTCGTTTACTTTTTTGGTCGAGAGAAGGAATTCGTTTGGCAAATGTATAAAAAATAAAACTAATTAAAGAGAAAAAAGATACAATTAATTTAATACGTATAGAAAGAAATATATAATAAATTTTTATTAGTTAACGTGTTTGTTGTTGTTTTTGTTGTTGTATATCGTGCGGCATTTAATACTTTATTTAAATTAGTTACAAACATTTATTTACTATTTTTCTCGTCTTTTTTTACGGCTTCCGTTTTCATCCGTTCATTCTTTTCTTCGCTGGCGTTTGCTCCTAAGATTTTAGTTTCGTTTTCATCGCGGGGCCGACGTTTTTGATCACCGGTTGCGGCCGCTAATGGTTTTAAATAGGTTACGGTGGCACTTTGCGGCTCAGACGGTGAGGAGATAATTTTTACCGATGGTTCGGAGGCCCGTCCAATAAATGAACGTGTAGCGAACTGTTGCTGCTGCTGCTGCTGTTGTTGTTGTTGTTGCTGTTGTTGCGGATGATGTTGACGTTGTGGACGTGCTTGATGATGTTGCTGGAGTTGGGCGAAACGCATTAATTGCTCATAGTTGACCGGTAAAGCGGGCGGCGGTTGATTACGGAATTCTGGATGATCCTTCACATATTGCTCGTAAGGTACGGGTATGGGTACAGGCACTGCCGTTACGGGATAACCAGCATCTACTAAAGCCTGAAATTCGGCTTGCGTTAAAGGTTTGCCGCCAGGTTGTGGTAGATGCAATTGCTTCAAGTCCTCTATAGTTTTCGGTTTGTTGCCGTTAGCAATAGGTCGCGAAGCTGTAACAATACCGGTACCTTGCGACACGTATATACTGGACTGTGATGGTGAAGTTCCGGGCAAAGTATACTGACGATAATCGGTAGGCGGTTGTTGGGCATATTTAGTAGATGCTGCTGCGGTAGGTTGTACGGTAGGCGCGGGAGATGGTAGTTGGCCAGATCTATGCGGATCAGGTGGGCTGGGATAGAATTGCGGGTGTCCAGTTAAGGCAGCTGCATTTGGTTTTTCAATTTCATAAAAAATTGGCTGAGCATATTTAGTACCTATTGGATAGTTTAAGTCATTCTTTAAGGGCTTGTTGGGAAGAGGTGTCGTAATAAGTTTAGTGCCATATTTAGAGCGATGTGGCTTTGGCCGTCCGGCTGGTGTGGGCGTTGGCTCTTGATAGAAGAATTGCGAGACATGTATTGGTGGCTGCCTTGTAGAATGTGTTTGCAGTTGTGGCTGCTGTACTGGTGGCTGAGCATGTTGTTGTTGTGGTGGATAAACTACTGGCCCTAATTTCTTAGCATCGATTATCTCTTGAGGCACTTGTACGGGATAGTTACCAAATTGATACAGAGAAGGTAGAAAAGGTTGATTATCGTGCGGCCCTAAAGTAGTGATATAAGATTTTCCCGCCGCTACATGAGGTCGTATTAAACGTGGTTTCGGTAGAGGAGCAACTGGTACAGCTGTAACGGGATGCCGATGATTGACCACAGCGGATGGTTCATTCGTATTATCTACAATTTGCACTGGAGCAACATGTGGCTTATTATTGGCCAACAATTTTTCAATTTCATTTTCCAGCGACGATTTCGCCAACGGATGATTGGGCAGGGTTTTATAACTAATTTGTGGCTGATAGTAAGCGATCTGTGGAGGCAATTGCGGCGCGGCTTCCGGCTCAGGTATATGTTTTGTTGGCCCATTACCTTGTGAAGACGGCAAGGGCAGGTACTTGGGTCCTGTGATTTTATTATGCTGCGGTATATATTGCAAGTATTCAGGATGTTGACTGATATCAGGCTCGCCATCGATTCTTTGCCGATAGCCGCCTAAGCCTTGAACTTTTTGTGATGCAGATGCAGCCGCTGCCGCGGCTTCTTGCCTTCTATACTGATCTTCTTGTAAAGCACGAGCTTTTAGTTCCGCTTCAAGAATTTTCAAAAATTGCTCTTCTGGTATAATTTGTATGGATTGCTCTTGCGGTTGTTGCTGTTGTTGTTGTTGTTGTTGTTGTTGGTGTTGGTGTTGTTGATGATGTTGCTGTAAGTGTTCTGGCGCCAAATGATAGGGCAATTGCGGTTGATATAAATGTGAACGGGCATGAGTGAGTATCGGTTGTTCAACGGCAACAGCATAGCGTTGTTCGGCTTCTTCAACTTGACCGGCAGCTGCTTGATGTATTTGGGCTCTTGCTGCTGTAGCGCTTAATTTCTTGCTTTGTCCAGCTAAGGATTTACTTTGCAATAGTTTAGGCTGACGACTGGCCAAGTCTTGAAGATAGGCAAAATGCTGTATCTGTTCAAAAAGAAGTTATTTAAGTTCGTTTTTCATTTCTCTCCTTTTTTTTTTTATTTAATAAACACAATAAGTGCTGTTTCTATAACATCATCAATGACCTCCATAGACATACAATAGCACAGACAATTATGTGTAATAGTCATGTATGTACGAAAAGAAAAAAAAAAAAATCACAAAACAGACACACAAAACTATAGAATTAAGCTAACTTGAAAGATTAACTGCACCCTCAACACCTTTGGCGCGGTTGCAACAACACTAATTTGTGAGAATCTCATGACATCTTAAAGTAATATGCCGCAATAGTTACATTATTTTCTAAGAAAAAAAAAAAAAAAAAAAAAAAAAAACGTTTCTTTTTTTTTTCATTTTAAATGAGTTAAATTTTCATTATTGTATAACAAAAATAACAACAACAATACCGATAATAGCAACAACAACGACAGCAGCAATAGTAAAAAGCTGCTGGCAGCTGCTTTTTGTTTTTGGTATGGAAAAAACGAAGCATTACAATGGTGTTCAATTGAGTTACGACAAACTTGTAAAACTCGTCAAGGAATGAATGACTGACTGACTATACGGGGTATGCAAAATCTTTAATTCTCACTATTGTCATCATCATATGCTGGAAAAAGCAAAAGATCGAAAAAAGCTAAAAAAATGAAAAAATAAAACAAAAAAAAAAAAAAACAGAAGGAAACTCAACAAAGACCCTTTAGTTGACGAATGCTTGAGGGCAAAGACCGTAAAAATTGGGTAACGACTAAGGCAAGAAAACTTTCTTCCCACACATTTTTTTTTTTTTTTTTTTTTTGATTGTTTACCTAGTATGATGTTGAAAGCGAAAACTATGCTTCGCAATTATTTAAACATTAAATAATAAATTTTCCTTGTTTTTTGTTTGAGGTTTAAATTTTTTCAACCGAAGCTATTTTTTTTCTTTTTGTTGTTGTTGTTTTTTTTTTTTTTTTTTTTTTTTTAGAAAAATTATTGTTAATATTTTTTAAATTGAATTATATGTTAATTGTTTGTTATTTTTTGGTTTCTTTGTTTTATTGTTATTATCATTTTCTTTCAAATTTACACATAATTAACTTTAATCACTTGTAATTTTATTTATTTTAGATACTTTGTTTTTTTTTCCATAATTTTTATTAAAAAATAAAAAAAGAGTTTTTCTCTCTTTAACAAAAGAGTTTTTTTTCTATTCTTTTAATATATATACATATATACTTCTCAAGATAAAGCATTTCAAACTTACATTAAATACACCCTCTATTCAATAATGTACTAGCCGTTTCCCCCATGTGTACTTATATAATATATATGAAAATACAAAGAGTTGCGAAAAAAAAAAACAAAACAAAAAAAAATTGCGTTTTACAATAAATTTGAATTTTTCAAATTTTTGTAAACACTATAATGTACCACGTCATTAACATCATTGAATACCCTACACCATCTTATACTTATTCATATCGCAACTTTTTAACTTAAGGCATTATATGGGCAATGAACGTAAAAGTAGTCCGAATTGAAGCATTTTTATTAATGTTCGTCCTTGGACTAGAACACTTCAGTGTACCAAATACACACACACACACACACAATACAAGAAAACAAGACAGACAGACAGACAGACAGACAGACAGACAGACAGGCAAGCTTAGTTTAAATCAGAATCAGGTGAGTCTATCTCAAGTCTTTCCATGTGGTGCATACATCCGCATAAACTTAATATACCCTAAGGTAAGGTATAATGAAAGTCAATTTAGAAAAATTTCTTCATAAATCCTTGGTTATGATATATAAGAGAAATGAAAGACTTAAGTCACAAACTTGGTAAGCAATCCATAAGAATATTTTAGATATTGGATCTAAAACCAAAATAATGCAATTTATTGAGATATGCATAAGAGATGTAATACATGGATACCAACTTCCTAAAAATTGTGTGGTTAAAGATGGGTAGAGGGCGGGCGGGCGGCATAAGTTTTCAACGATCCATTGAGATTCAAAAGCATTTAACATTATGTGTCATTATGAACATTCTTCCAGGCAAGTCCATGCACATATTAAAAATGTTATGATTGTTGTGTGTTGTTTTATACAAACAACAACAACAACAAATTTTGAAAATTTATTTTGAATATTTTTCAAATTACAAGAAAAGTTTCATTTCATTTATCCTTTTTTTTCGCATATTTTTTTGTATTTAGTGAATGAAAAGCAAAAAAAAAAAAAAAGAAGAAAACTCAGCATTCGTTCCTGAGGTACGTGGCTTCAGCGTTAACTATTTGTGAATATATCTTGGTTTGTGGTGGATATATGTACACTCTCGCGTAAGAAAATAATCGTTTTTTTTTTTTTTGGGAACCATTCCAAGAGCAGTTTAGTTTTACCGCTTGTGCACTTGATTTCTTTTCTTTCTTTCCTTCTTTCTCGTTAAGATTGCGAATGTATAGAAGGTTAGAGTTAAATCTACTCAATAGCTGTTGTGTAACCAAAATTCGACCAATGAGTTAATCAAATCATCCTGAGATTTTTAACAATTATAAGCGCGTTTGTAAACAAATCACGCCTTTTGATTTCAATGCCTGGTGGGAGTAAGAATTCGAGCAATAGAAGAACGAATTGACGGACATTCTCATCCTAATCTATCTATTTCATGTCTTCATATTTCTGCATTAAGTAATATATTAAAAAAAAAAAAAAAGATATGAAAAAAAGCAAATAAATGCACATTGTACACCATACACCAGTTCGCTTAATATAGTTATTTATATGACGACTTAGGAGGAGTGGTCGAAAAAATGGTTCAATTCAAATCGTCTTTAAGAGCGATCGTCCTTGAGCCATCACCAAATGCCATCAAAATCATCTCCGAAATTACAAGCAAAAAAAAAGGATAAAAGACAGACAGACAGACGGGCAGATGGACAGACGGGCAGATGGACAGACAAGTTTAAATCGATTCAGAGAGTGATTCCGAAGCGATCGACATGCTAGAAGATGGGTCTATCTTAAGTTATTCTGGATGTCGGCACAAACTTATGACCTCTGGACCACAAACGTAAGTCAGTTATTTATTTATTTTAACTCATTTCATATGTCGAAATATAATATATATAAAGTTTGTGGCCGAGTGAGTCGGCAAAATGTCGCGGGCATGTAAGTTCAAATCTCAATTGCGATAGAGTTTTCAATAAAACCGTTAGATAGCACCTTAGGTGCTAGTAGCTCCTTAAGATTTTAATCTTGGGATTTACTTCTCGATCTAAATTAATAATAATGAAATCTATTACTTTTGTAAGAGTTAAGTCATTTATTATTTCGCATGAAATTTATAAATTTCGTTAGGATTTCATAAAAAAAAAGTTTTTTTTTTTTTTTTTTTTTTTTTTTCTTTTAAATCGTACAGTGCGTTACCTCAATTCATTCAAGCATTAAATTATATGTCAAATTATTTGAGATATTTTCACAATTCCCACAAAATCCATATATAGTCAAGGCCGTCATCCTATCCGTAATCTAAAATTTGTTATGATTATCTCTTAATATAAAACATAACAACAAATGTTATAAGATAAAAATAAATATAAATGAAAATCATTATAAATTTACGATTCACTGCACTGCACAGCACAGCACAGCACTGCACTGCTTTGCTTTACGTTATGGTTATTGTCAGCTAACATTTAAAAGAAAAAAAAAAAAAAAAAAAAAAAAAAAAAACAAACAAAAATTAAACGAAATAAATAAAAAACTTAATAATTTATTTGTCATAACACGAATATTAGCAAATTAAACCATATTTGGCGATTGCGTAACATCGTTGCCTCTAATGCTAAATGAAAATTTCAAATTTTCTAGAAAACTTTTAACTAAACAAAAACAACAAAAATAGTAATAGCAATAATAATAATAATAATAATAATAATAATAATAATAATGATAATAACAACAAGATTTTCTTATTTTTGTTGTTTTGATTGTGATTACAAATTACAACAATAATAACAAATGTTTTTGTAATAGCTAACTAGCTAACAATTATAAAACTATTCCTATTTACACATGCATACACGTACATATATATATATATATATGTATATATATATATATATATATATATATATATACGTACATATGTATATATATGTTTAAAGAATACATTCATATACATATACGTATATGTATTAGATATGTAGGTATTTATGCTTAGTTACAAGGAGAGTGTTATGCGAGAGTATGGATGGTTAGAAGAGGAAGAGTTATAGAGTGTTTTGGAAAAACAAGTCACGACACAAAACCAAGCTTTATGATAAAAATTGCTTGTATCATGTATTGTATGATATTAAAGCACAATAATAATACATAAACAAGAAAACCAACAAAAACAATAAAATAATAACAACAACAATAACAGTAACAACATCACAACATCAATAGTATAACAGCAATAACAGCAACAAAGAATAAACAATAAACATTTTTTATTTTTTTTTTTTAACATCAAATTGTTGTTGTTGTATATTCCTCTATCTGTACCTTTGGCATCCACAAAATACAATCAATGAATGAATGCTGGTATCAATAAATTATGCGCCTCCATAAGCGAAAAGATATCTTCCGCCAGCAATAACATACGCAGCTAAAACGCTGATGGGAAAATCGTTTAAAGCAAAATTTATTATAATAAATAACTAACGCCAGTAGTTGGTTTTGCTTCTTCGCTTTTCGGCTTTTCAGCTTTTCAGCTTTTCAGCTTTTCGGCTTTTTCGCTTTTCTCGTTTATCGATTTTTTTCCCTTGTTTTCTATTTTGTTTTTAGTCTTCTTTTTAACTGTTTAATTGACTCATTAACCTTTTTAGTATGCCACTAAGCATGTATTGACAGTCCTGACATGACAGTGTTTATTGCATAGACATTTGATTGAATTTTTTTCATCCGTCTTTGCTTTTGTTTGTCTGCTACTGCTGCTTATGATCATGATGATGATGATGATGATGATGATGATGATGATGCTGCTGCTGTTGCTGTTGCTGTTTTTGTTGTTACATTATAATTAATGTTAAAAGTGATTTTTGCACTCACCTCTTGACTTTGTTCCAGTAGCTGTGTACTGTGCGGTCGTATAGTGGCCGGATAATTTCTCAATTGTGCCGCAACTGTAGCTGCTGCCTGAGCTTGTTGTTGCTGAGTATGTTGTTGTTGTTGTTGTTGTTGTTGTTGCTGCTGTTGCTGCTGCTGTTGTTGCTGGTGATGCTGGGGCTGGTGCTGTTGCTGATTTTGTGCATGTTCATCCGCTTGTGGTCGTATCAAAAATTGTCTTGGATTTGCCGCGTACACCGTCTCTTGTCCATTCTCGGGATCATCAGCATTGGTATCATCTGCACCGTTACCGCTACTATCTGAACGACGATGATTTGCATAGACGGGTGCAATTTTAGTGTCTTTTGTTTGTCTTTTATCTTTGGTGGCATCATTTATGGAATCTTTTGCAACAATTTCGGCCTCAGCTGCTGCTGCTGCTACTGCTACTACTACTGGCGATGATGATGCCGCGGTAGCACCAGCTTCTCTATCACTAGTTGTGTCATCGGTAATTTGTTTTGTGGCTGTTAGTTTATTAGATTCATTCAATTCAGTGGCATATACATTTAAAATGCCTGCAATTGAAACCGAAACAAAAAAAGCACAAAGTAAAAGAAGAAGAAGAAGATGAAGAAAAAGAAATAAAAAAAAACGAAAAAAAAAAACAAAATAAATAAATAAAATAATGAAATTACATGGAAATTACAGTTAATTTAAAAAAAAAAAAACAAAAAAAAAAAAAAAAAAAGAGATTGTTTCCATTAATTATATAAAAACAATTAGATGAGACTATCCGTTGCTCAATAAAAGAATTGTAAATAACTTAAGATATATATTTTCCTTTATTGGGTATATTAGATGAGTGTAGTTTCAAAAAGTAATCGAATAAATTTTTATTAATTTTTTTCATTTTTGAAACTCAAAATCAATTTCAGGCTGATGATTAAAAGCAAGTCGAATTTACGAATTCTTAAGAAAAATGCTTTATGCAAATAAATTGCAGTCGGCGTAGGCTTGACTGTTGAATAACTTTGACTGCTTCGCCCAATAGATTTTGTTCTCACATATATATAAAGATTTACTTCTCATCATCAATAAGCTTTATATGAGTAGAAGTGTGCGAAATATATGCCCATTCGCGACAAATTTACAAAAGTGATATTAAAGCATTCTTATGTGCGTGTGTGTATGTACCATCTTTTATCAGAAAATAGTAAAACTTAGACTTTGTTATCAAATAAACGCTTAGTACATCGTACACCACTAGTGGCCTAAGACTCTTTTAAGTTTTTACGGATCGACTTTCGATAGATCCAACTTTTATCATACCGATTCAAGTTTATCTGTCCATCTGTCCATCTGTCCATCTGTCCATCATGTATTCTTGTGTTCAACCTATAGGTCGCAATTTTTATAATATTTTTATGAAATTTGATACACGGATGTGTTTTGATCCAATTAAAGAAAGCTATTGGCAATGGTTCGGAATCGGCCAGTTTTTCGACCACTTACCATATAAAATCTTATTTTGAAAAGTTCTCTTTTATGAATAATTTTAATGGTGGGCCATTGGCCGTTGAAATGCCTTTACTTGTATGTTTCTGTCACAAATTTACCATCCGTTTTGCCAGTAGTATCCATCTCTCCGTCAACAACGTCATTTTAACTGGGATACGTTGCCGAAAGGCTGTCTTTCTCTCAAGACTATCACTAGGCATTTTTAAGTGAGACATTAGCTATTATACTTTCATTATATTATTATTATTATTATTCATTATATTATGATATTATCATTCGTTACTTTAATAGTAAAATTTACAAATGGATTGAGAAATGAAATGAATGATCGGATCCGAACCAAGCAATCATCCTGGGGCTAAAACATGTCATATTGAACGGAAATATGCATTAAGCGGACAGGCGGACAGGCGGACAGACAAGAATGAAACAATTCAGAAATTGAGCCTAATCTGGTTTACTTTCTTGAATGTTGCCCCGATTAATGTAATACAATTTTAATACTTATGGTGTAGAATATAAAAGCGAGAAGAGCTTTTAAGAAATTTTTTACGAAAAATTTTCTCCTTTAGAACATGTCTTACAGAAAATGTAATAAAACAAAAAAAAAACCAAACATTTATTTACTTTTAATATTTCAAAAAATTTCACCCCACCCATGTAACAAAAAATATTACGTAACAATTATTACTATGGAATTTTGACGGGACAGCATTAATTAACGGAGATGACGGAGATTTTGAAATCTTAGCTTAATTGATAAGTTCGTAGACAGAAAAAAAAAAAGAAAAAGATAAACTTCACAGAAGGACAGATATGTTCTTTTAATATAATTTTCGCATTTTCGTGGCACATAAATTATAGCAAATAAATGTACAAACATTTTAACGCATATTCTACGGGCGATGCTATAGCATTTGTGTACTAAAATGGAAAAAACTAACCCAATATTGTAGTTTATCATAATTAAATTGTTTTTTTCAATACCTTTATAACGTGCAAAAACAAGCTTCAAAACCTCTACAAAATTGATAGGCAACTAAACATGTTCGCCTATTCGTCTGTCCATCTGTCTGTTTGCGCAACATTGTAGTGTTTGTGGTAAATTTTCTTTCGTTAGCGAAAATGAAGATATCGCCTACAAGTTTGCAAAAGAATTTGAAATAACTTAGACTTTTCCAAGGACCTACAAAGCGTACTACGAATAAATAGCAAAAATCATCCGCACCCACTCCATATTATAGAGCATGAAAATTTAGTTCTTCTATTGTTTTTGGTGTTTTTTAGGATACTGGTAGTGGGTACAAAAGATTCAATTACGATCAAATATAAAATTTTCTTACTTGTTTTTATTCCATTTTTTTTATAGTATCTAGTCCAACTTTTTTTTTAGCCAAAAATTGAGCCTTTTCCATTTAAAGACTCGCCAATCACGGAAAAACGAGTATTTCTAAAAACCCTTACCGGGAATTTTTAAAAAAAAAGAATTTTTTTTTTTTTTTTTTTTTTTGAATCAGTTACACTGCTTACCGCAAGGTCTGTGCGAATGGCGTTGGCATTGTCATTTTTTTAATGTACTAAGTTTTTCTTTTCAATATTTAAATATATGTCTGATAATCTTCCCGGATGTTATTTTAAGCCGCTCTATAATGATATAGAGCTAATGCAGCTAAAATACTTTATGCTGCAAGCGGCCTTCCATCCATTCGTTTTATGTTATATATTAAATTGTTGCAATGTTCGATGGTCAAGCAGGTTTTCTTATTACAAAAATTTCCCAATTAAAGGGTAAATTATACGCGAAAAGCAAATTCATTCAAGCAGTTACTACTGCATGTTTTTGAGACGCTTAGACTCATTGGCTTCTACGTAACGCTTGCATAAAGCTTAAGAAGCACATTTTTCCAATTGCAATAAACTGCTCTATGGGCTTTGATTTTGTTTAATTCATCAATAAAAGCACGAAAACGACTTCTTAAGGTAGGATACTTGTGTTTATTGAATGGATTACAAGCACTTTTTTTCTTTTTTTTATTATTATTTTTTTTTTTCATAAATTTATTTATAAGCAATTCATATAATTCCTTTTAGATGACTGACTCGCGCTATACCCTACACAGCTTGTGGGGCAAGATAGTAATAAGTTTGTGTGGATATACGCAATACCCCAAAGGACTTGAGAGAGACGCACCTTTCATTATGCCGATCGAATCAAAATTGACCTCGTCTGTCCGTCCGTCCGCTTTTTTTTTTTTTTGTGTTCAACCTACAGTCCACAAATTTTCGAAATGTGCTGTTGCTAACGGTTTGGACCGAACACTCAACACCCAAAGGGACTTGAGAGAGACGCACCTTTCATTATGCCGATCGATTCCAAGTTAAGCTTGTCTGTCCGTCCGTCCGCTTTTTTTTTTTTTTTTGTTTTCAACCTACAGTCCACAAATTTTCGAAATATACTGTTGACAACGGTTTGAACCGAACACTTCCCATATAACAGCTTATTTTGAAAGGTCGTCATATCGTGTAACTGTAGGCTGATGTAGGGTATTTAATGGCAGACCGTGACTTATTGTGGTATTTTACTGACATTAACTATGACATGGCATAAAATAATAATTTGTAGCAAACTGGAAAAAAACCTTGATTTTCAAATCCAAAAAATTTAATTATCATCTTAAACCATATCATGCACAACAAGCACATAAATGTTGTATAAATTTAATCTACAAGTCTATCTGTTAAAACAAAGATTTAATTGATATAGAAATTGATATAGAAACCTATATAAAATTATAGAAAATTTTTTCACATAGGATTGATATTACGATCTGAATAAAGTAAAGGAAAGAATTATTTCCCTATAAACATTGTTAACTACGGATACAAGTTTATTAATAACTTTAAGATACATATTTGATTATAATTAACTATACTTTTATAGTTTTTTATTTATATATATTTATTAAATAGTTTAGTAAAATCTCTTAGGGTTTTTGCGTTAGTTAATCTTTAGATTTTTGTTGAATCGAGAATCAAAGGAAGTCCGCAATTAATATAATTATAATAGAAATTAACTCTAATACTTGGTTTATGTAACATTTTCCTCTCTCTCTTTCTCTCTCTCTCACTCTCTCTCTCTCTCTTTCTCTGTTTTGCACTTTGATTATTCAGTAACTGTTAGTAGTTAATTTTATAACGTTTTAAAGACTATATCTGTTGGTATTTTACGCCAAAGATGTTTTGCGTTATAAAATGCAAAGAAAAAAAACAACAAATTAACTTTGAAATAAAATAAGACTTAGACTATATATATTATTTACATCAGATAAAATCGTTTGTATAACATTTTTTTATTTATAGCATTTTTAATGGTATTATAGTCGAATAGGATTGTTTTATCTTTGTCATTGAGTCCATCTCAGATGTTTATGGCTCAAAGATCAACAACTCTTAATACTAAATTCAATTCATTATATTATACCATATTTGTTGTAAGTAGTAGTGAAGAGTAAATATTTTGCAAGCATATAACACAAGTTATAACTTTAAGAGTTCGCAGACAGACAGACAGACAAGCAGGTGTTATTAACTTATGAAATTAAACATCTAAACAGATTATATCTAATTCACTGCAATTATAATCTAATAATAATCATAATAACAACGAGTAGATACTCTCTACGCGATCCTTGCATATTATTCATATAATGACTTTTCAAAGTACGATGTTATATGGGAAGTGATCGATTCAGCAGCATTTCAATAACGTTCGTCCTTGGTCCGAAACATTGTATTTGATCAGAATAACTCGACAATTTTCAGCCGATAAGTTGAACATAAGAAAAGAAGAGAGACGGATGGACAGACAAGCTTAATTTTAAATCGATCGGCATAATAAAATGTGGGTCTATCTCAAGTCTTTTTGGGTGGTGCGCGACATCCACACAAACATATAATACACTCTTGTCCTACCGATGGTGTAGGCTATAATAATAATGGTAATAACAATGATAATAATGATATTAATAATAATAATAATAATAATAATAATAATAATGATGATGATAATAGTAATAGTAATAATGACAATAATGATTATAGTCATAATAATAATAACCTCAGGCCGCACAAACGAGAGGAATTCTTTACTTATTTCCCGTCCCTTCCTGTTTGAAACTAATGTAGTTCTTAGGAATTTGACTCTAGATTAGCGACTACGAAGCCTATATAGTTTGACCTAAAGGCATCCTAAGAATATTTAATCTCTAAATATCTTATCTATGAAGCATTCACTCTAACGCAAAGATGGTTTTCTTTCACTTTTCTTTCAAACAGAAAATGTCGTTAACATTTTTTCGTGACACATGTTATGAACCCATGTCTTGTAATCGCGTTCGATGCAAAGAAACGTCTTTCATATTTGCAGAGACCATATTACGAAGAAACGTGAAAAGATATTTGTATTTTTTATAGCCGCATGCAAAAATCGTATTCTCGAAGGATAAATGGAACCAAAAAAAAAAAAAAACAACACAGAGAGAGCGAGAGAGAGGATAAAAACTGAAAAATATTAATAGTCTCCTATAAGTTCAGAAATCATATTAATGTGTATAGCGTTTAACAGCAAAGATTTAAACGAATACTTTTAGGTGATGCATTTCCCGATACTTCTTAGACACATTGCCGACTCTCTTAGAGCAGATCTCATCGCAAGGTTAGTTCGATGCAACAAATAGTGCAGAACCATTGTAATCCTTTCTTATTAATTTTCTCTCATTTAAAATTAATTCAAATTTTTCTTGATATAATAACATATCTTAAGGCATTCTTATCGCATTGAGTTTTTGCATTTTTTTTTCTATCATTTTAATCAATATAGTATGTAACTTACCAACGATATAACAATACGCGATTAAAGTTTTCCACATTTTTTTCAAAAATATTTTTATTTTCTTTCTTCCGTTTTTCAAAAATATTAAGAATTGTTATTTATTTATTTAGTTTTCTTAATGAGTTTTTTTTTTTTTTTTTTTTTTATGAAGACTAGTTTTAAAAATAATGTCAATAGTTTTTCATTTTCTTTTTTCTGTTTTTTTTTTTGTTTTTTTTTGTTTATAGTTTCGATTTTTATTTTATATGAAAAAAATCGTACTTTTATTCCTGGCAAAGTACGATTTGAATAAAAGTTAAAAAAAAAAAAACAAAAAAAATTAAAAACAAAAATAAAACGGAAATATGTTAAAAAAAAATTTTTTTTTTCTTGTTATAAGAAAAAGAAAGCAAAAGAAAAAAAAAACAATAAATATACACCGAACAAGTTGTTGTTTTTAGGAGACCGCTTTTTGTTAAGACAAAAGTAACAACAAAAAAAGAGAGAGAAAAACAAACACCAATAAGTTGTATGTTGCACGACGTATGAACAACGTTTCCAAGTTATTGTTTGGCGACACTGGCATTTATAAAAGTTTTACCGACAGCAGCTCAACTAATCCGCAGCTTATGCTGCTTGAATATGTTTGTGTGCAAAGCATATATATATATATATATATATATGTATGCATGTTTTGAGTTGGTTTATGTATATCTATATATGTATATATGTATGTATATATTTACGTGTGTATGCATCTTTTGAAATCGGTTTATCTCATTGTCTCCTGTTAGCGAGTTTTTAACATTATGTAGAGTAAGTAGTAATGTTAGAGTGCGCTGCTGTTGATTATTATTAGTTAGAGTTATTGTTGCGTGTGTCTGTATGTATGTATGTATGTCTGTGTGTGTGCCTGTGAGCTGCTGCTATTGGTTTTGTTACTGTTGACAGGCAAACTTACATTAACAATAACATCACTTATTATATATACGATACACGTATATATATATATATATATATATATATATATATATGCATTGTTCGTTCGTCGAAACGTTAAATTTTCAAAATGTTTTTTCAAATTTTACAACCACTAACAGCACAATATAACTAGATGTTGGAGTTATAGCAAATTGGTTAATGCCTTTGCAACGTCTAGATAAGTAATTTATGAGAAATCCGAGCAAGAGTCGTTAGACTTTATTTTATTTTTTTTCGGGCGATATGGAAATTCAGAATTGACTAAACAATCTCACGGTAGTTAAAATTTTTGGAAAAAAAACGTCTGAAAAATGCATTTCATTTAATGTCAGTTATTTTAGTTAAAACCACGCCCATTAATGCAATCTAATTTAAATGATATATATCTACATAAACATATGAGAATAGTACTGCGACGACAAAGATCGATTTTGAAGTTGCGTGTGTGTTTGTATGTGCTTGTGTGCATATATGTTTTCGCAAGTCTTCTAAGAAACTCGGCTCTTGGATGGTGGGTATCCAAGATTCTCGAAATTTTCTTCTTTGCTTTTACTTATCGGTTTTTTTTTTTTCTCTCTCTCACTACTTTTAAGGCTATATTTTTTAGTATTGTTTTTTTCTTTTTTTTTTTTGTAAATTTTTTTGTAAATTTTTTGTTTTCATTTCTGTTTTTGTTTTCTTTTTTACTTTTTTATATATTACTCATGCTTGAATTAGGTTTAGAGGTGTTTTTCCTGCACATAACGATAACAATACGGTGAACGAAAAAAAACAAAAAATTGCTCTCATTAAACAACTCAAACAATTGATTTATAAGCACCATCAACATAAAATGCTGCAAACATTTGCATGTTTGACTGACGTTTAGAGAAAGGCCCTCCTCTCTGATTCAAATGACTGACTGACTGACTGACTATTACTTAAGTTTCGTGCTCTGTATATATATATATATATATATTTTTTTTTTTTTTTTTCGTTTAGGGTCTTTAGCTGCTGATAACCGTCTGCATTAGCGGGAAATCATGACATTTCAAATAGCTATTAAGCGAAATGTTTGCTGCATTTAATTTTGTGCTTTTCATGTTGTACTTTAATATTTAAAGGCCAATATCAATTTAATAATAATAATAGCGATTTTTTGATTTTCATTTAATATACGATACTTACGGCCCATGCATACAATCGATAGTTGATTTTGTTTTATTTCCTTTCCATTTTCGAGATTATTTGATTTTTTTTTTTTTTTTTTTTTTGTAGGAAATATTTCAAATTAAAAGTTAATTTGATCGTTTTTGGCGCTCTTTTGCGGTTTTCGATTTTAATGATTTTATGAAACAATTTTCTCGTCATAATATAGAACTTTACTTAAAGTTTTTTATTAATACCTTAAGATATTTTATTACGTTATCGTTTATTACTTTATTATATATAATAGTTTTTACAATCACACCTGAAGTCAAAAAATATGAAAACATTTTCATTATATTACGTATTATAGAACGCTCTTCATGTTTAACAGATGCTAATTGAATCAAAAATGGACGTGACCGACCGTCATATATTGTAAATTTATTTATAATAAGAGCACCATTCACTGAAATTCATTTACAATGAGAGGAGGAAGCAATGGACAAGAAGTTGAAACCTTCTTTATAATAAGAGCACCCCTTACCAGAATTCATTTTCATTGAGTTTTGTTTTTCCCTCGAGTTATGTTTTGATAAGTTAGGCAGAATCGCGCGGTAGTGGTTGCCCTTATCGAATATGTTCAGTTTATATGATGACGATCTACTAAAAATAGTCTAGGATTATATTATATAGCGGCTTATGTCAAGTTTCGCGGTTTGGATGAGTCGTGGAGTAAAGAAAAGGTCAACCCATCCTTCTGTTTGACAATAGTTCAAGTCAAGTTTTATTGTACATGTTATCGCGGTTGTTCGTAATAGTAAACTAGTCACAGGAATACTTAGTTGCCTAGAACGACGTGTAGTCGAAAATTTCGATTCATTATCAAATAACTTTGGCCGTAATTTCTACACCTCTGGCAGCTCTACATCTCATTGGTAGGGAAATATTATCAGGTAAAGTATTATGCAAGAAATCAAATTATTTAATACTGGGAGGGCTTAGAATATACCGTATCGTAAGTGATAACTTCTTCTGATATGATTTACGAACACAGCCTAGGTCTGTAGTATGCCATAAAAAAATCGAAATGGATTAAGTAGGAAAAAATTAATATATCAGATTCGTTCCGTCGTTTACAATACTTACTACGGTCGGGTCGGTCAGTATATATCACTTAATTGATATATACATATAGGTATATATGTGTATAAAGATGCATTTATGTATATATATTATATCACATATGATACATACACATGTATATATGTAATTATATATACATATATATATGTATTCTGGATTATAGCAAAATTACGGACCGATTCAGGTTTGATCATGTGCTTTTCCATCTGTCTATCAATGAGGCTATCTGCCGTCTTTTATGGGGACGTCCAGATACCTTTATTTGATAGCTAGAGATGAAGTTTGGAAATACGTGCACTGTGTGTTTTGCTCACATGAGCCAGTGCAAAAGTGAAAACAAATACTTACTAAAACTATATTCAAGCTCTGCTATAGAGCTAACCGACTTACAAACACGATCAAAACAAACGAGAACTAATCTCTTTTGAGATTAAAATATCATAAGCTAGGAGAAGGCCTTCATCGGCCAACCGACCTGCCTCTTATTATTAACAATAAGATATTGGAGAAGTGATGGAGATGAAAACTTCTCCCCTTCTCTTCTTCATTTTGATACTGACATCTTTGATCGTTATATTTGATCGGCCTATTCATCAGTAAGCGTTTAAGTTGTTTGCAATCAAAGACAGAATGACAAGGTAACAGAAATTTGTGATCCAGAACAGAACAGAATATGTGTCGGCCTGCCAGTCACTATTTATCTAAGCTTTTATCTAAGAATGTCTGTCTGTCTGTCTGTCTGTCTGTCTTTTATTTTGCTGGCGTATTGTCGCCCAACGAGAAACGCTATTCAATATGCCTCAGATCGGACCACTTTCTCGAGCCTATTACTCTATAACTGCAAGATGGTGCTGGGCATTTAATGATGGGACATGACCCATTACAATGTTTTGATTACTTACTCAATCACAAATTTATAAAGAAAATTATTGCTTTATGGATGCGTGTAAGTGAGATTTCTAGTTTATCAAAACTGTCCTTAACAGGTTTCGGTTATAAAAATTCTCATAGATCGTATATACTTATGGCGACTCTGCCATATAAATACATGGTGATGGATTTTGCGGTTCTGAAGGTAGACGCAAATAAAACAATTAGATTAGTGTTGTCCAAACATTGTTGCCTACAATACATACCCAGGTGAACAGCAAACAGCAAACAGCAAACAAAAATTGTGTAAAACTTATTACGAAAACAATGAACCCATGATTACGGTTCTTGTAGCTACGATCAAGTCTATATTTGATTAAATAATTTCATAAATAAGAATCAATGCTCCTTTGGCATTCTTAAAAGATTTCTAACGTGTACAACAAGTGTATTTGGGTCTGGTTTCCCGGCTGAAAATGGCATTGAAATTGTCCTCAGTGTGAGAACAGTGCAGAGAAAAATGATAATTGATTTTTTGTGACATGAAGTAGATGTTTTCGATTTGGACGATATGTGGCTCCCAAAAAAAAAAAAAAGCATAAAAATGGTGTAAGGTGCCATCAACTTATTACGAGAAAAGCTCACTGACCAATGATCATGTAATCTTCGCAAATGTCCATGTGTACTTGCCACGAAGATTATTGCATTTTTTCAATTTGAGGTTATGTTGAAGTCTTGCTTATTCCTCAATGACCTTACTCGGCAAGATTCATGATTTTGACGAATTTTTACAAGGGTATCAGTGGCATGAACTGATATTTAAAATGAAAAAAAACTCATGTTCATGTCCTTAGTGATGCGTGTCAAACGCAGGGAATTCAAACTAAATCGATTTGCGAGTACGACAGCGTATATCCCTCTCTTGTAAACATCAATGGTATATAAATTTGATTTGAGGAGAAATATATTTCAATGTATGGTGCACAAAGTACAGTTACGTG